TTTTGTCTTTCTTCAATCAGTGAAAATTTATTGCACATGTACTTACTTACATGCAGGCATTTTAGAAAATGAGCATACAGAGATGAGTAAGACAATACCCCTATTCCCAAGGAGCTTACAGTTGAGGAGAGAAACAGGGCAATTATAAGATAGAATAATACAGATCAGCATGCACCGAAGGAGAGAGGAAGGGTATAGAACCCAAACGGGGAGGTCTGGAAAGCTTCCCAGAAATTATAATGTTTGAGCTGTGTTTGGAGGGGGAGAAAACATTTCACTTATTTTATTTGAAGATCATAAAAAGAACTTCAGGGGCCGGCCTGGTGGCGTAGTGGTTAAGTGCACACGCTCCGCTGCTGGTGGCCCAGGTTCGGATCCCCTGCGCATGCTGTGGCGGTGTCCCATATAAAAGTGGAGGAAGATGGGCACAGATGTTAGCCCAGGGCCAGTCTTCCTCAGCAAAAAGAGGAGGATTGCCATGGATGTTAGCTCAGGACTGATCTTCCTCATAAAAAAATTAATTAATTAAAAAAAAAAGAACTTCAGACATGAAGTTGTCTGTTGTTGTTGTTGTTGTTGTTTTTGTGAGGAAGATCAGCCCTGAGCTAACATCCGTGCTAATCCTCCTCTTTTTTTTGCTGAGGAAGACCAGCTCTGAGCTAACATCTATTGCCAATCCTCCTTGTTTTTTTTCCCCAAAGCCCCAGTAGATAGTTGTATATCATAGTCGCACATCCTTCTAGTTGCTGTATGTGGGACATGGCCTCAGCATGGCCGGAGAAGCGGTGCATCGGTGCGCACCCGGGATCAGAATTGGGGCCGCCAGTAGCAGAGCGCATGCACTTAACCGCTAAGCCATGGGGCCGGCCCTCTGTTGTTGTTTTTATAATGCCACAGCCAGGCATTATAAACTGGAAGGTTCAGACCAAATGGATCATTTCTGATATTGGGTGGATATTGGGTGGAGCTAACACATCTTAATGAGTTTTTTTCCAGCTGGAAGTCATTATTTACAAAGTATTCATTGAAATATACTAATCATCACTTATTCTTCAGGCAGGGTTTATCTGAATGTCCTTAAATTGTCACCCAAAAGAGCCTGAAGATCATGCTTCAACATTTCCACCATGAGTCATACTCGATCCAGCTGTACTCATATTTTCAGGACAATGATCAAATACAAAGTGGTGTCAGTGAAGATATGCCAACATGGAATTGGGGCTAAGGCATGAGTATTTGTTTTAATTTTGTTTTTTTTTTTTTTTTTTTTTTTTAAAGATTTTATTTATTTATTTTTCCCCCCAAAGCCCCAGTACATAGTTGTCTGTCATAGCTGCACATCCTTCTAGCTGCTGTATGTGGGACACGGCCTCAACATGGCTGGAGGAGCGGTGCCTCGGTGCGCACCCAGGATCCGAACCCGGGCCGCCGGCAGCGGAGAGCACGCACTTAACCGCTAAGCCACGGGGCCGGCCCAATTTGTTTTAATTTTGAATTGTGGTAAAATATACATAAAATTTACCATCTTTACCATTTTTAAATGTACAGTTCAGTAAAGTTGATCACACTGTTGTGCAACCAACCTCCAGAATTCTTTTCATCTTGCAAAACTGAAACTCTATATCCATTAAACAATAAGTTCCTATCCCCCCATCCCCCAGCCCCTGGCAACCACCATTCTACTTTCTGTCTCTATGAATTTGACTACTGTAGGTGCCTCATATAAGTGGAATCATACAGTATTTGATGTCTTTTTGTGACTGGCTTATTTCATTTGACATAATGTCCTCAAGGTTTATCCATGTTATAGTATGTGTCAGAATTTCTTTCCTTGTTAAGGCTGAATAATATTCCACTGTATGTATATACCACATTTTCTTTGTCCATTCACCTGTCGATGAACACTTGGGTTGCTTCTACTTTTTGGCTATTGTGAATAATGCTGTTATGAACGTAGGTGTACAAATATCTCTTTGAGATTCTGTTTACGATGCTTTTGGATATGTACCCAGAAGACTTGCTGGATCATACAGTAATTCTATCTTTAATTTTTTGAGGAACTGACATACTATTTTCCATAGCAGCTGCACCATTTTACATTCCCACTACCCAGCAGTGCACAAGGGTTCCAATTTCTCTATATCCTTGCCAACACTTATTTTCTGTTTCTTTGATTGTAGCCATCCTAATGGGTGTGAGATGGTATCTCATTGTGATTTTGATTTGCATTTACCTTATGATTGACAGTCATTGGTAACTTTTCCCCTAATTACACCCAGGAAAAGTTGAGAGTGAAAGGGTAGTACAGACACAAAGTTCTATTGTTCCTGCCTTCCTTCTGAATAAAAGCCTGTCTGGGGGCTGGCCTGGTGGCACAAGCAGTTAAGTGCATGCACTCTGCTGCAGCTGCCCGGGGTTTGCAGGTGCCGATCTCGGGTGTGCACCAACGCACCGCTTGTCAAGCCATGCTGTGGCGGCGTCCCATATAAAGTAGAGGAAGATGGCCACGGGTGTTAGCCCAGGGCCAATCTTCCTCGGCAAAAAGAGGAGGCTTGGCATCAGATGTTAGCTCAGGGCTGATCTTTCTCACACACACACACACAAAATAAATAAAGAATGCATTAAAAAAAAAAGCCTGTATCCCCACCTAAATTCTATTTTCACAGATTAAAGGGAGTCAATTGAAACTCCTCCCTTCTTCTAAAGCCTGCATCAGCCCCTCTGGAGAAACGCCTCTCTCAGTAGGATCCTTCTCCCAGCAATCTATTTATTTGTTTATTTTTTGGTGAGGAATATTGGCCCTGAGCTAACATCTGTTGCCAATCTTCCTCTTTCTGCTTGAAGAAGATGGTCCCTGAGCTAACATCTGTGCCAGTCTTCCTCTACTTCGTATATGGGATGCCGCCACAGGATAGCTTAACGAGTGGTGTGTAGGTCCATGCCTGGGATCTGAACCCACGAACTCACAAACCCCAGGCCGCCTAAGTGGAGCATGCGAACTTAACCACTGTGTCACCAGGTGGGCCCCTCTCCTAGCAATCTAGATGTCAGGAAGCAACCAAGGCAGACTAACTATGGTTTTCATGTCTCCAGGGAGTAATTTGACTCTCCAAGTGAACCTCAACCATACGGAATTTGCAGCAAAGTGGGAAATCTGTAGGTATTTCCTTGAAATAACCTTCAGTAAATTGCTTCACCTCTTTCGGGCAAGTTTTCTTTAGCAGTCAAAATGAAGGGGCTGATTAAATGGTACCTAAGGTCCCTTTGACTTTGACTTTTATTAGCACACTATTACAGTTGTTGATCTCATCCTTGCTCATAATTGGGCAGAACCCATTTAAATCAACTCTGATATTAACATATTGGTTCCAAGTGTATCCTTTCTAAAAAATATTTCAATGCACATTATTATACTTAGTTACAGTGTTCACTGACTGGGACAAACGCTGGATCAACCATTGAAGACAGCCATTCATTGACTTATCTTGGCTGTTTTGACTAATCTAATGGGTGACAACATTAGTGAAGGATAATGTATGGAAGAATGTATCTCAATGTAGAAATAATTAAGGAAATTGGTCTATCAAATTCACTGTTGCTAGGACAATAAGAAATTTAATTACAATTTCAAAATTAATATCCTAATATTACAATTCTAGTTTAGTGTTTTATTCTTTTTAAACGTTTTATTTTTTTTAATAATTTTATTTATTTCTTCCCCCAAAGCCCCAGCAGATAGTGCATGCCACAGCTGCACATCCTTCTAGCTGCTGCATGTGGGACGCGGCCTCAGCATGACCGGAGAAGTGGTGCGTCGGTGCGCGCCCAGGATCCGAACCCGGGCCGCCAGCAGCAGAGCTCACGCACCCAACTGCCAAGCCATGGGGCTGGCCCTCTAGTTTAGTGTTTTAAATTCACCCATGAGATGTTAATTAAAAACTCAGAATTTAGATTGTAAAAGTTTATTGATATGGTCAAAAAGCAAACAGCCAGACATTTGGTTATCCTTGCCACTACAATGTATCATTTTGAATGGTGTTTTAAAAATGCATAACAAATAATATTTAAACCATTACTAGAAAATTAAGAATCTACTTAAGGCACTTCAGATGAAAGCTAATTTCAAAATTTCCAGAGAAGCAACACTATTCTAAGTGTAGTAAATCTGCTTTCTACAAATTTTAGCCAGAATGTAATTTTTCTCCTTACAGAAGAAGAATGTGCTCTTAAGGGAGACAAAACAAAGACAAAAAAAACTGTCATTCTTTCAATGCTCATGGAAAATTATCTGGAGCTATACAGATTACATGGCAGTAGTATTCCCTTTGTCAGTCTGTACAAATTAGGGCATCTTCATACAAGTCTCATAAGAATCAAAGCATAAACTTATTTGGCCTGAGACAAGTAAGTACAAGAACAGCAGATAAGGAATCCAGAATCACACGATTTACATGGGGCTAATTAACAAAAATTAACTCCACTAAAGAGTAAGAGGTCAACTATATCCCCCACCCACCAAATCTACTAACAAAAAACAAAAACAAAAAACCCACATAAAACATTTCTTCTTAGGCAATTATATCCATCTCTTCAAACCTCTATTATATACGACTTCTAGACCACATGGGAGAGTTATTAAGATGGTAAATAGTAGCAGGCAGTCACAGTATTATTTTAATGTAATATTTCTAAGATTTCTTTAAAATTTTTTCCACAATCATAATTCTCATATTTCCATAATAGTGGCATTTCAGGATACTCTTCATAACTAGGGGGGAGGTTACAGTTATAGCTGGATCTAACGATAACTCTCAACTTGCCATCTTCACAGAAATTTGGTTAGCACATATGGTTATTTCCACTGACAGAAAAAAGGACAAAACTCAAACAAAACCTCTTCAAATGTTGACTTTGTTTCTCCACTTAAAGTGAGAGAATGAAGGCTAAAACAATAGCAAAAACAGAACAGCTTTCAAGAAACATTTACATTCTATTCACACGCAACAACTCAATATTGCATGATTTTCTTTTCCCAATCTAGGGGAGTACTTTTCCTAAACACAAGGGTTAATAAAATATGTTGTAACTGTAATACAGAAATCAACTTAACCAGATGAGCTTATTTTTTTTTCCTTAGGTACAAATGAAATAATGACAATCTCTAATTTGCAGAAACATTTTAGATAATTTTCAAGTTATACTGATTTTAGAATTAAGCTACATTTTTATTAGATAGGGGCCCATCTTAAATAAAAGAAAACTAGGGAGACAGAATGAACCCAAAATCTTTCCAAATACAACATAGTTAACACCACACTCATGCAGAAATCATATTCCTGTATTTAGAGATACTTTTTAATGTCTACAGCCACCAAGAAGCATAGATAGCACTATATTTCAGTAGGAAAGATGAAGGAAGAGGATGACTGGCTAGTCTTTTTTTCTAAAGGCTAGATGTGTACTCTGAAGATAATAATATAAAGTCAGATGGCCAAAAGTTAACTAAGCAGTTTTGAACTTTGTTCTAATTAAAATGAAGTAGTTTTAAAATTGTTATAATATACTTGATTCTACTAAAATAAATGTTCCATAAAATTCACTGGGAAGGGAAGATTAAAAGGAGAATCGTATCCAAACACTTCATGATTTTGACAGGAAATTGCTTGTTAAGGCACTACACATCTTCTTTGGTTAAAGGATTAACTATTTAAATCACTCGAAAAAAAGAGGTAATACAAAATACACAAATTGCATTCTTCTTTTCAAACACACACACATTTTCATTTTCCAATTTCCATTCCTCCAGTGTCTACATATCTCTGGGGTCCTTTTTAACTCATCAGAAAGCTGAAAAAAAATATACCCATCTATTAGTCTCTGAAAGAAAAGTAGGATTTACTGCTAATAAATATCTTGATTTTAACAGATCAAAGAGTGTTTGAGTGCATGTATAATAAACTTTGAGTATCAATAACAAAAAGTAGAAACACTGAGATACTGAGGTAGTCTTAGGAGAAAAGGAAAGAGACATAACCTCAAGTTAAAATATCTCCTGAAGAGAGATATCAATTAATAGTTGGAGCAACCATGGTGATCAAATAAGTAACAGAAGTCCCAGCAAGATTACTCTTGCATCCCAGTTAGTATTCTATAGAGGAGAAATTATTTTAAAATATACATACACAGAATAAAAGTATAAAGTTGGAAGATTATAAGTCAAGAATCAAAGTTGTAATAGGTTTTGGCCTTAAGTTTGCAAGACAAAAGTGCAAAAGAAGATTAATTTATGTTGTTCATTGATCAAAAGGCATGCAGGAATGTCACAATACAACGAATTGACTCAGAAGTTTTTCAAAATTATCTACAAAAAACTTGTGTTAAAAATAATATGAAGGGGGGGTCCAGCCCCATGGCATAGCGGTTAAGTGCTTGTGCTCCACTGCTGGCGGCCCGGGTTTGGATCCCGGGCGCGCACCGAGGCACCGCTTGTCAAGCCATGCTGTGGTGGCGTCCCATATAAAGTGGAGGAAGATGGGCACAGATGTTAGCCCAGGCCAGTCTTCCTCAGCAAAATGAGGAGGATTGGCATCGATGTTAGCTCAGGGCTGATCTTCCTCACAATAAAAAAAGAAAAATCTAAAAAAAAAAAGAAAATAATATGAAGGGGGGCCGGCCTGGTGGCATAGTGGTTAAGTTGGCATGCTCTGCTTCTGGCAGCCCGGGTTCGCAGGTTCGGACCCCAGGCGCAGACCTACGCACCGCTTGTCAAGCCATGCTGTGGCAGCGTACCATATACAAAATAGAGGAAGATGGGCAAGGATGTTAGCCCAGGGCCAATCTTCCTCAGCAAAAAAAAAATAAATAACAATATGAGGAATGAATTTGTGTCTCAAAAATATCACTTGATATACTTTACCTTTAGTGTTCATATCCTTTATACAACAGGACAATGTTGTATTAAAAGAACAGGAATTATAGTAACTGGCAGCACTCAGATTATAAAACTAACTCACAACATCCCCCATTATGTAGGTACATTCCTCTTGGCTATTAAGCAGAGTAAAATCAAGAACTTATGGCCGGCCCCGTGGCTTAGCGATTAAGTGCACGCGCTCCGCTACTGGCGGCCCTGGTTTGGATCCCCGGCGCACACCGCCGCACTGCTGCTCCGGCCATGCTGAGGCCGCGTCCCACATACAGCAACTAGAAAGATGTGCAACTATATCATACAACTATCCACTGGGGTTTTGGGGAAAAAAGGAGGAAGATTGGCAATAGATGTTAGCTCAGAGCCGGTCTTCCTCAGCGAAAAGAGGAGGATTAGCACGGATGTTAGCTCAGGGCTGATCTTCCTCACAAAAAAAAAAAAAATCAAGAACTTATAACCAGGAGAGGAACTTCCTCCCTGAGCCTCAGAGATCTTTATGAACACTTCAAGCTGATTAGACGTTCTTAAACATTCTTTCTTATACTTTCTACAAACTGGATTCTAATCAAATGTTCTGTTTATGCCATCCAAAGAGCCTTGAAAAGTAGAGGTGAGAAGTTTAAAAAAATTTGTTTTCAATAATTTCCACCTCAAGAGGAAGCAGAGTACGCAGACAAGAAACTGAGTAGATATGATACAAAATGTTCTAATCATTATGTGTTTTATAGATTTCTAGATTAAATCAGATGATGTCAGAATAATCCTGAAAGATGTTCCTGAGAATTCATATACTATTGTCCATTATATCACAATTATCTTAAATTTTTATGTGCAACATATCTAAATTAAAGCCTATCTCTTTGCTTTAGAGGTTAGAATAGTCTGGAGGTAAAGCAAAAAAAATAAAGAAAATATTATAAAGCAACATCAACTCTAATTATTGTAAGTATAGATAATCACTATATAAATGAAAAATAATCATACCTATATGGATATCCATGATATTTAGATCTGAAAATAGAGAGCATCCAACTGAAGAATAATACAACAAGTCCAATACCAGCCACACACATTACTGCAGGAAAAAAGGAGAGTAAAATCAGCATGTTAAGCATAATAAAGAACCAGGGCATAAATTTTAATATGCACTTCCAAGAGTGAAAAGCAAGGGCTATAATTTACCGGTAAACCTCAACTTTCCAACAATTTTCATTCCCATTCTTATATCTTCAAGAGTCTGCCTTCCCCTTTAATTTGCTCCATTACATTATAGTAGAGTAGCTCCATTTATATACTTGTGCAATTTAATTGTATGAAGGAATGAATTCCTTTAAAGCCATCACAGTCAAGAATTTAGTGTTAGAAACAGTTTTACTACTGCCAATAAAATCACTTATTAAACTTCTTTTAAATCCTTAAAAGTGGCCTTATTGTATTATTGATAAATATTGACTTAAAGACATTGATAACATCCTTGTGACATCCTCACTTGAAAGTATTTTATTCATGCACAGGCAATGACACTGCCTGTATGAGGAACTCATTCAGCATAGATTCCTCATTTCAATAATGAGAGGAAAAAAACCCTGATTCCCAGCCCTAAATTCACAGCTCTCTCCATTAACCTCATATGCTTTGGTTTAGCATGGCAGTTAACGACCTTAACTCCAGATACTGACCCCACAATGCTCAAGTATGATTCCCATAACTTGAGGCTTTCTGAGTCCTTGGACTAAGACTGGCTAAGAAGCATAGAGGTAGGGATGTGGGAAATCACGTGTGCTAACAGCAATGGAAGCTCTAGGGAAACATACTTATTGGCCAATACTAAAACCAACTTTTAGTTTTGTTAGAGAACAATTCTTTTTCCTTTTAAAATTTTCACACAATATGATTGGGGCTAAAATGTAAATGTTAAACATTTTTTCTGAGTATTAACATACGCTCATTGTAGAAAAGTCTTTTTTTTCTAATCAGATGCACACATACATGTATACACACAGTATCACTCTGTATATATGTTTGTATTCTACCTTTTTGACATAATATACCTAAAAGTGCTTAGGGCAGTTCCTGGTACATAATAAGTGCTCAAGAAATGCTTATTACTAGTGATTATTTCATTAGGTTAGAATCTTAGAAGTAGATCAAATTGTGATTATTTTAATATATGTGGCCAAATTTTTTACAATTTAAATTCAGGCCAGCAGTGTAGTACTCAGATGGCCTTTTCCTAATAATGAATACTGAAATAGGAAATTTTTTAAAAGTCAGGTAATGAAAGGATGTATATTGTCTGAGTAAAAAATTGATATATTAAGTTCTGTTTTTCTAATATGTGAAAATTCATTTCAATTTAGCAAAGTAAGTATCTCCCAAATTTGAAATCCAATGTCATCTGTTTTTCTAGAAGAAAAAGTAAATAGACTTTATTTAGATAGGTTAGTTTTGATGACATTTAACTTTTTAACCATAAAAGGAAAACTCTGACTTAAACTGATTTCATGTAAGTGAAATAAGATTACATTGTTAGCAATTCTTTGCAACAAATACCAATGTGTGACTATTCTAATATATAAAATGTCCATGTAAACCAACAGGAAAAGGACTAAGACTCTAATAGATAAATGGTAAAAGACAAAAAGACATTTTACAGAAGGGAAAACACAAAGAGCTAATAAACATTTAGGAAAATATTCAACTTCACTAGTAAACAAAGAAGTACAAAATAATATAATATTTCCCCCTCATCTGGTTAGCAAATACACACACACATATTTTTAATGAAGTTACCTAATACTGATAAAATTACAGTGAAACAAGCATTCTTAAATACCACTAGTAGGAATCTAAATTATTATAACATTTGGGGAAAGATTTTGCCATCATCAGTTTAAAACATCAAAAGAATTGAAAATACTCATGTACAGGACCACACAGTCATTTTACTTCTGGGAATCTACCTTAAGGAATTACTATGAAATGAGGATAAAGCTTAATACACCATGGTAGTCACTAAAGATTTATTTATTATGTATTTAAAGATGTATTTATTATAATGAAAGTTAGGAAAAAACTAAGCATTTAACAAAATCAGAACGGTTAAGTAAATTACAGTATATAGAGTTTAAATTTAAAATTATTTATAGGAAAATATTTATTAGTGAATTATTTAACTCCAGTTCAAAAGGGAGGTACAAGATTCAAAATTTTATATATACAATTTTAAAGATGTTTTTACAAATGGAAGGAACTACTACAATGTTAAAATTATTAGTTTTTCAATGGTGGAATAACAGGTAACTTTCCTCCCAACTGTTTCATACTCCTATTTTCCCCCACATTTTCTACAATGAGCATATATTACTTTTGTAATAGTAAAGAAGTAAAATAACATACTTATAACTAAGGCGGGAAGTGATTAAGAGGACATTCTTTTTTCTGTATCAAAGGCAGAATTGTTAGATTTTGGCATATGATATGACTTACTTTTTCGCTTTCCAATATCCATGTCAGATGTAGCAGCTTCACATAAAAGCACCATCCCTAAGGTAACCCCACCGTCTTAGAAAAATTGTTTAAGGAGAAATTTACACAGACACAAAAGACATACCACTTTAATATTCCTAGTCTCTTATGAAGAAAATTAGAATGAATAAATATATAAACCTTCAATTCTTAATCACAAAAAAATTGTAACTAAAATAAGTAATCTTGTGTTTATACAGCATGACAATCATTTACTATGAAGATATAATAAAAATATTAAGGTTGGAAAATTACTTCATTTGCATAAATAAAAATTGATATTTTAAACAAATGTCCCACTATAATTTATAGACAAAATATGAGTCTCCCTGAAATTGTACTTTGAAATAACCTTCCTAGACATTCTTCCAACTATTGCTCCAACCTCATACACATTATAAAATATTAAATGGCCATTCTGAATAATATTTCAACCACCCTCCAAACAAGAACACACTTGAAATGTGCACCATTTAGAGAGAATAGTAACTAATTTTTATTTGAAAAATAACTTCCCATAAATTCTCTAGAATTTCAACAATTAACCTTTAAAGCATGAATTACTACTAACCTACCTAATTTTGCCCTATTCTAATAAAAAAATCACACATGCCATGACCTCACTTTTATTCAACTTAATATAGAAGCTACATAAATACAAAATAGACTACTCACGCAAATAGGTAACACATGGCATGGCTGAATGCTAAAATAAGCAAAATCAAATTTTAAAGTAAATTACAATGTGTTCTAGCAGAAAAGAGAGATTCACTGTGCAGTTTGGTGAATACAAACAGCAGTTAAAAATGTCCAAATTAATTATGCATACACATGCACATTGTATGCTACCGCATGTGGGTATAATTAAGCAGAAAGGGAAAAATAGGTGTTCAGATAAGGCCTAACTTTATAATTGGCTCTATAATTTGTCTATTCATCCCTTCATTACCATCTTGCACTCTCTCTTCAATAGCCTCTTGTTAGGGATGATGCCTATTCATCATGTTTTTAGTTGCTTAGCCAAGTCTTCTTCTCCTGTGATTATTTTTTTCTTACTGAAGTTCTTTATATCCAAGTACGTGTAAAAATTGATCATTTCTATAGGTTTTGGTTATACAGTACTCTGACTGATGGTTGCGACTTTTGTTTTTGGGATGGTTTTTGTATCATGGTCTATATGCTTTTTCTTTGAATGAGCTTTCCATCTCACAACATACCACGAAGGTCTTTGTGTGCTGTTCTCAGCTATCAAGAGCTTTGATGCACTTCCATATGCATTGCTTCATTTCATTTATTAATTCTTTAAACTTTTACTAACACTGCCTACTATGTGGCAGGCACTGCTAGTTCTCAGAGTTACAAAGTTGGACAGAATATAGACTCCTCCTTGGACAAATTTACACTCTAGTGGGGGATATAAACAATGAAATAAATATAAATAATTGCATAATCATGATTAAATGTTACTCTGGGAAAACTGAATAGAAAATAGAGGAGACGGTAGTCCATAACAAACAAGAGCTAGGTTATCAAAAGAACTAGTGGAGGGGCTGGCCCGGTGGCATAGTTGTTAAGTTCGCGCGCTCTGCTTCGGCGGCCCAGGGTTTGTGGGTTTGGATCCCGGGCACGGACTTACATCTCGTTCATCAAGCCACAGTGTGGCAGCATCCCACATACAAAAAATAGAGGAAGGGGCCGGCCCTCGTGGCTTAGCGGTTAAGTGCACATGCCCCGCTACTGGCGGCCCGGGTTCGGATCCCAGGTGCGCACCGACGCACCGCTGCTCCAGCCATGCTGAGGCCATGTCCCACATACAGCAACTAGAAGGATGTGCAACTATGACATACAACTATCTACTGGGGCTTTGGGGGGAAAAAAAAGGAGGAGGATTGGCAATAGATGTTAGCTCAGAGCCGGTATTCCTCAGCAAAAAGAGGAGGATCGGCATGGATGTTAGCTCAGGGCTGATCTTCCTCACACACACACAAAAAATAGAGGAAGACTGGCACAAGATGTTATCTCAGGGACAATCTTCCTCAGGCAAAAAAAGGAAGATTGTCAACGGATGTTAGCTCAGGGCTAGTGGAATTAAAGAACATTATATATGACAAAGACATTTGCATGAAAGGAAGCATAATTACAAAACTGTGGGAAAATGTTTAAATTACTTTGATTATTATTGTCCAAGGTAGATTTAAACAATTACCTACAATATCTTTCCCTATTGAATTAGCAGTTTAAAAAAATGAGAATACATAATGATGGTCAGCACTGGCCAGGGATATCAGTGCACATACACATTTCTGGCAGCAAACCTTACTCCCCTTTTTGTAGCAAAACCCTTTTGGAAAACAATTTGAACAAAACATCAAGAGCAATAGGCAGATTCATATACTTTGTTTCAAATCTTACTTGTGGGAATTTGGAGATATGCCAAATTATTTTTATATCCAAGAAAACATTCTTCGTAATGTTCAACAATAGGAGAATAATGGATTTATGATATATCCATTAAGAATGATGACTATTTTTCCTTTTCCTTGCCTATATTTTCTTCTTTCTCTGTAATTCTCATGCACTTTTGTAACTATGAAGGCCATACAAGGATACAGAAAATGCTTACAATACATTAAGAAATCAAATGGCATGCAAAGTATATGTGTAACTACACGAAAAGGAACTTCTCTCCCTCAAGAAAATACATATGGGCAAAGAATGCAAGAGAATATGCAAAAATAAACATATATTTTCATATTAGGGTTTTAGATTACGGGTGAAATTTTTCCATACTGCTACTTTATTTTTTAAATTCAAATATATTTAATGTGTGATTCCATTTACGTAAAGTTAAAAAATAGGTAAAACTAATCTATGGTGTTAGCAGTTAGGATAGTAGTTACCTTTGGGCAAGGAAGGTAGCAATCAGGACAGGTGACGAGGTGGGGGATGCTCTGGGATGTGAGTAAAGTTTTATTACTATATCTGGGTGCCAGTTACACAGTTGTGTTCATTTTGTGAAAATTCATCAAACTGTACACTTATTGTGACCTTTTCTGTATGAATACAATACTTCAAATAAAAAGTATAAAATATAATTTTAAAAGTTGCTTCATAGATCAGGCAATTCATTATATAGTTTGCTTTATTAATCATGTAGTAAACTGTACAATATTAAAGTAATAATAAATATGTGGATATTTTCCAAAATCATAACTATGACTTAGTAGTAGTCTCATTCTATTAATTCTTTTTTTGTGTGTGTGTGAGGAAGATCAGCCCTGAGCTAACATCCGTGCTAATCCTTTTTTTTTTTT